CCCCGCTGAGTCCTCTGGGTTTTTGGCTCAATATGTGGGAAGGTTCCGTTTTTATTCCAGTAAGCCGTGCTCCGGGGAGGAGACCAGTTTAAAGTCCTGCTTCAAGTTCCGGTTCCTACGTCCTGTCTCGGCTACCCTCTTCCACTGAGCCTGCCTGTCTGCACCTGATCCTGTCTGCTCCTGTGCGTGACCACCTGGTCATGCTTCTGGTCCCTGTCAGACTCTGAGCCCTCCTGGGAGCCTGTGGATGCCTGCAAGTCTGATCCTGCCACCTGTTCCTGTTCCTGCCTGATCTGGATCCTGTCTCTGTCTGTTCCTGTCTGTTCTGGATCCCTCACCAGGATCGGCTTCCAGCATGACCTCTGGGACTGCAGCTCTTGGGGACATTCTTGGTCTGGACTGTTAAACCAGGTAAGTGACCAGCTCAGAAAATCTTCTGTCAGATGATCGTGGTCACTTACCTGTGTTTCTCCTGCAGAGTGTCTGTGATTGAGCGGTGCCCCCCTCCCCATCCTGCAGTGTCCGCAAGCCACGCTCCGCTTTTGTTTTGTTTATTTAATAAACGTTTTTAACTTTCCTACTGACTGTCTCTCCTTGAATACTGGGTCCCTCTGTCCTTGGTTCTTGACACCTTCTGTGTTTGCATCTGAGAGGAAGAAGAAGAATCCTTGTTCGCCCACTGAGTGATTTGTCCACAACCACCTTACGACAGCCGACTTAATTCCAAACATGTTTGATTTTCTCCCGACCTTATGATTCTTGATGGGGAGGTGGTCGTTAGAGGCTGACCGCCCTCGTTACCCCCTGTATACTACATAATACACAATCAGACTGAAAGACGGCCCGATCGAAAAATTCTGGTACGACTGGAACATTGGCCTGAAAAGGGCAAAAGAATCGTACAGTGTATGCCCGGCTTTACACATAAATTACTCCACACCTACTGTATGAGTCACCCAACAGTGGTCTATCAGGTACATTCCATTCCAATTGCCAAATAAGTTACATTCAATGATGTTAAAAGCATTGATAGTTATTACCCCAGTCGAAGCACAAATCCTAAGTATTGTTGTAGAAGTTAGAGGATCTACTTAAGTTTTTTTACCCCAGTAAAAGTACCATTTTAAAAACTACTTAAAGCAAAAAAAATTACTGTAATGAAGGAAAAAACTAGTCC